GGATTCGAACCCGCCACCTTAGGTGTACGTGGCTGGCGCCTTAGCCGGCTGAGCTATAGGCACCGAGCCTCTTCTCTTTTTTTTTACCTCAGAGTCTATAGCAGAACACCCTGGCACACAGATGCCCAATCAATGTGAAAAGGAGTGCCCAAAAGAGGTGGGACACAACCATCTAATCAACAGTAATGCATGGAGTCTTCAGATAAAATCTATAAAACTTAAAATGTTCTCAGAAATTATGGCAAAATCAAATCCAATTTCAGAAAGTAGAGACAAAATTGGACTGGCCAAAGAAATAGATTTGAATCCCGGTTCTTCTTTTTAATGGTGTAGTCTTTTGGGTCAAACCACCTATTTAAATTCTGTACCCCTCTCCACCCCCCACCTTTTCTCTTTTTCCTCACCTGTAAAATAGAAATACATTCTATGTTAAAATAACCAATCTACTGTCTCCCTTCATTCTTTCTTCTCCTACCTAGATTTTTCTTTTTTGAGACAAAGTCTCACTCTGTTGCCCGAAGCTAGAGAGAGGGCCTTGTTGTCATAGCTCACAGCAACCTCAACCTCCTAGGCTCAAGCTATCCTCTGCCTCAGCCTCCGGAGTAGCTGAGACTACACATGGCTACTACAACGCCCAGCTGATTTTTCTATTTTTAGTAGAGATGGGTTCTCACTCTTGCTCAGGCTGATCTTAAACTCCTAAGCTCAATTAATTAATCTGCCTTGGCCTTCCAGAGTGTTAGGACTACAGGCATGAGCCACCATGCCTGGGCCTCCTACCTAGATTTTTTTTTTTTTTTTTTACAAAAACCAGGGATGTAATTGTAGGGTAAGTTGGTAATACTGAAAGATCACTAAATCTAGGAACCAAACAGGTATTATTTCTAAGCCAGGTGGATGTGAAATGGCAAATGACATTAGGCTTAGCATCAAAGAGATAACTAAGGGTGAGAGACACCATGAGATCCAGACATGCCAGCCCAACACACAGCACAGATGTACACTACTCAAAGCCAGGCAAATTTACTAGGTGAGGTATGTGAGTCCAGTGTTGTTACACACTTCCATTTTGTGAGAGAATCTAGAAATCAGGGTTTTTTTTGAAACAATGATTCACTATGTTGCCCCAAGTGAAACTACTGTGGACTCACTCAGACACACAGTAATCGCAAAACTTCTCTGAGTTCAAGCAATCCTCCTATCTCAGCCTCCCGTAGCTGGGACTACAGGTGCCACCACAATATCTGGCTAATTTTTCTATTTTCAGTAGAGACAGGATCTTACTCTTACCCGGGCTGGTACTTAACTAAATTCAAAGGATCCACCACCCTCGGCCCCACAGAGTGCTACAATTATACCCATTAGCCATCATACCAGGTTTGTGTGTGTGACAAGGTCTCACTCTGTCACCTGGGTGGCATCACCATCATAGCTCACTGAAACCTCCAACTCCTAGACTCAAGCAACTCTCCTGCCTGAGTCTCTCCTGAATAGCTGAGACTACAGACGACACCACACATGGCTAATATTTTTTGCAGAGACTGATAGGGTGTGGTGATATGCTCAGGCTAGCAAACTCCTGGCCTCAGGCAATCCTCCCACCTTGGCCTCTCAAAGTGCTAGGATTACAAGCATGAGCCACCATGGCTGGCTGGAAATCAGTATTTTTATGTATCAGGAAACAAATATGTGATTCTTCAAAATATTCTGGAGGCCAAACAAAACACATCTGTCAACTAGTTTTCATCTACAGGCTACCAGTTTACAATCTCTGTTAGATGTTTCCTAACTACTAGCCAACACAAAACTTTTAGTATATTATGGGATGGAATGGGAGTGCATAAAATGTTTCTGGAAGGAAAATGCATTTTATTTCCAAAATTCAACTCCCAAGTGCTGTGGGTGCACAACACTAAGTTAACTGAGTACCACCAGTACTCGGTCTCCAGATCCCCATGCAAAATCTCAGGTGTAGGCTAATGTGTTGTCTCCAATTCCATGTTGTACCAGAAGTCCACTTAAGCTCCCTTTGATATTGACTCCTATGTAGTCATCTCTTATCTCTGTTCTTTTTTCTTTTCCCTTCACCCTTTTCCAATTCCCTCTGCCCAGTTTAGCCCTATTCCTTCTCTTTTAAGATTAACCAGGTTCCCAACCTGTCTCTCTTCTCTACACCCACCCATCCTCTATCACCAGCAAATCCCCCCACTTGCAGTGGCTCCTCACTGGTACCATGTCCAAAGTCGTTTAAACTTAAAAGACTCTCCAGAGCCCAAATCTACCATTCTCACCTCTTCCTGCAAATCAAGCATCCTGCCTACTATCAGCTAAGCACACAGTCACCACTTCTGTGTCTATTAATGCTTTAAGTCCCTTCCTAAAATGCCCTCTGAAAGTCTCTGCAGATGCAAAACTCCAAGCACCATTACACCATGTCCATATAGTCTCCTGGACGACTTGAGTTCTTACCTGCTTCCAAACACTAAACCCTTACTGTGAATAACATACTGTACCTGATGTCCTTTATATTACTACTTAATCCAGGAGGTTGTCAGATTTATTTACAATGGAATCATAAAGTACACTTTTTTTCTTTTTGGAGACAGAGCCTCAAGCTA